ATAACATTTCGATATTTTTATGTAATCAGTCTTGATTTTACATTAAGTCTTTTGTCCTTATTATTATAAAACAATTGTTAAAATAAAAATACTTCTTAAACATAAAAAAAATTACAATCTTGAAACTTACAACAAATGGATAATATATAATTAAGTATAAAAAACAATAGGAAAAATCTTAAACATGTTAACAAATTGTACCTATATTTACTCTTTATAGGCACTAATTAATATAATAGGTTTTTTCTTCAAAAATGGTAGAGCAAGGGAATGGAACCAATCATCAAAAATCCTTTCATCAAACCAACCACTTTTACTTCGATTATACCTAGCTCCCTGAGGTCCATTTTCTGTCYAAGTTGGATATAAATTCTCAGCCTTATAAACAATGTACGGAGGTAATAATTCACCTTCAGCATTTCCTGCCATCATCACAGATATACTAGTCTTTGAAGCATCTAAAATATTTTCAGGGTGTTTGGAACMCCTTTTTGTAATAATTTTTTGTTTTTTTGGATCATCAGTGAAGTTAGTTTCGTCGTAGTTTACAATACTACAAGGAGAAACATTTTCAAGTGACTGTGATAAATTATCAAAAAAATTGTTCACCACTTCTTTAGTAATATTAGCCCTTGCTCTTTTAATATTTTCTCCAAACCGTTCACTTAACTCCGGATGGCGTTTTAAAAAATGTTTTACAAAATCGGTTCCAGGTAAATTATTTTTGAATCGCTTTTCACTACGTCCTATCTTATCAAGGTAACTTTTAATTAATAATCTTAAGTCTTTTCTTGTCATAGGAAACCCCCATTTAGCACACAATAATAAACCTTCACATAAATTAGTTTCCTCTAGTTCATTTAAGACTTTTTGTCCTCCATAATTACGAGTATGAGTACCGCTTACTTTTCTTTTTAAAGTTGTTCTTGGAATACCATACTGCTCTGAAGCTTTTCTTAGGGTTAATTGTTTTCTTTTAACAGCATTTACAGCCAAAGATAAATTTTCGTTGGTGTACTTCAAATTGTAACGTCCTGTGAAGTTCTTTTTATGGTTTCTAGGCATTTTTACTTTTTGGTTGGTGGACCACTTCAGCCTATGGTTTTAAAATGTTGTACGAGTTGTTTCACCAAAAGCTAAATAACAATACAATAACAATTATGATTGAAATAATTAATTCATATGAACTTATTGAAATGATTATTAAGTATGAACATTTTCAATTTAGTTACTTACTTTTGAGATTTAATTGAYTTTTTGACRACCATCATACAAAAACAAAAAAAATGAGGTTTGTTATCAAAATTATTTTGATAACATATTTTGCACGTATTGTTATCACTAGTATCAAACATTGTTTGTTATCATAATGCTATGGAGGTAGAATTTATTAAACTAATTTTGATGAAACAATGTTAAAGTTATGCTGATAAACATTTAAAAAAATTAGAATGGGCCACTTCATACCAGCAGGTTCACTTCACCCCGTTCTACGGTATATGTTATTACATATTATCGGATATTTTATGTCTATTAGGTGAACGTAAGTTAATTTAATTTTAAATAATGATTTAATTTTACACGATTTATAATATGCATATAAAATATATTATACACCTATTAATTATTATCGGGTGTTCTCTGTCTATAATAGATGAAAGTAAGTTGATTTAATTTAAAATAATTATTTAATTTTGATCGATTATCAATTTGCATTTTAAATATGTTAAAGTTTAATCTTATGTTTATATTATATCCAACATGATTTAAATATGTTGTGTGATTTTTTGTTTTTTAATGTCAGCATTCAATTTTCCAAGTTTCTAAAAAAAGGATACTGTTAGTTATAATATATTATAATTGAATATTAATCTTAAATAACGGGTTTATAATGTTTAATTCTATGCATGGCCTGCTATTAGACATAGATATAAGTAAGAATATGTTATAACTATGAACTATATTTAAAAATAAGGTTCTAATGATTTTTCTACCCTAATTTTTGTGTTTCGAAATTTATATTCTACCGAAATTCTTGAAAAATCATTGCAATCATTTCATGTAAATCTATTGATTTTTCAGTTTAATCATAAGTGTACGCGCTACTAGCATTCAGCGCTAATGAAACAGTAAATAAACAATAACACCGAATATGCTTTCACACTATGATATAAAATAATAAAACAAATAAAGTTATATATGCATGTATGTAATTTGATTATAATATAACAAAGGTAATATGTATATATGTTGATGAATATAATATAAATAATTTGCCAGTTTTTGGCACTACCAAATGAATATAATATAAATAATTGATGGTGTGTTTGATGAACACTGAGTATAGTATAAATATATGATTGGGTGCTTGATTAGCACTGAATATAATATGAATGAATGTGTGCTTGATTAGCACTGAATATAATATAAAATGAATGTGTGCTTGATTAGCACTGAATACAATATAAAATTTAATGTATGTGCCTTAGTCGGCCACAGTATACAAATTAATATAATATAAAATTAAATGTATAATATATATATAAAATAAAATACTCACAGTGACACAACCAGGCAGTTACCTTTTATAAACTTTTCTGTGGACAGTGTCATCGAGATACAATAAAATAATAAGTTTAGCACAATAGTTGATGACACTGACCACAGCAAAGACAATATATAAAATATAGAATGACGAACAATTAAATTATATACACAAAACACACTAAATAAAAATATATTAAGTATTAGAAATATTATGAAAAATAACGGACTGTCGCACGCCGCCCACTATCAGCCTGATAACAGATACACTATCGCAAGCTGACAGTGGGACAATGTACGCAGTCCTGCCACACAATCGCGCTACATTTTGCGCGATCAATAAGATTTGCTGAATATTTTATAATTATAAAATATATTATACACCATACACCTATTAATTATTATCGGGTATGCTCTGTCTATAATAGAGGAAAGTAAGTTGATTTAATTTTAAATAATTATTTAATTTTAAACGATTTATAATACACATGTTAAAGTCTTATGTGTATATTATATCCAACATGATTTAAATAAGTAGAGTGATTTTTTTTTTGAAATAACTACAATCATTTTTCTGACTGTCTAAAAAAAAAAAATCTGTTATAATTAAATATTAACCTTAAACTACGTGTTTATAATTAATGTTTAATTCTATGATAGTAGATATATAAGTAAGAATACGTTATAACTATGAACTCTCTTTCAAATTAAGTTAAAATTATTTTTCTACCCTAATGTTTCAAAATTTATATTCTACCAAAAAACTTGAAAATTAATTGATATAAGTGTAATAATACATGAAATGCCTATAAAATTAAGGGGACATCCTTATTATAAAGAGCACAAACATCGAAAAATAAGTAGGTACAGAATGTTAGTAGCAAATTATTAATGAAAGACTCATTTTGAGTCGTTTTGCTGGCACCCCCAATAAAGATTTCTTGTAATTTATTAGGGGTTTTAACTTAAAATATTATCCATGAACACATATCAGCTAACTTTAGTAGCTTGAAGTTTTAGTCTAGAGGTGGGATGCTAAGAAATTGCATTTTTTTAAATTATTATTTTGTAAACTAAGTGCAATCAACCGGTAGTACAGCTGTTGAAATCTTTTACTGTTACAGACAGTTATGGAAAAGAACCCATATCTTTATGACCTTATATGTTATGTAGTGGCCATTGATGTTTATCTTCTAATTGGATATGAGTTTTTGTGATAGAAATACTATTATGAACTAAGTATTTTAATTTTGTTCATATTTATTTGCTGTAATAACTAATAAATTATGAATAACCTAATCTTAATTGTTTATATCAATATAATACTTATACCGTAAACGTAAATTTAAATCATGCGTTTGATTGATTTCCATCGTTTGATCGTTGTAAAATTCTATGAAATTAAATGTTTTGTAGAATGTCATATTGGGTCATCCATATAATATATTTCTTGGTAGATTGTGGATCATAATATGGTACCTGTATTATGATTTATAAAATAATATGTTAATTATTTTCTTTCTAGCACCTCAAAATGTAATAAATGGTATGTGAATATTGTAGTATTTTTTTTATAATTTTAATTCTGAAATTCAATTTATGTGATTTGTGTCTCATAACTTTTCTAAAGATTACTACCCTCAAATCTTTACTTAGTTGATGTGTACTAGTGTACTACTGTAGTTATGAATCCATTCAGTTAGGCTATTCACCTTATTTAACAATATATTAACTCTGGATTCACGAATTATAAAAAAAACTATATTTCGTTTGATTTCAAATAAATCAATTAACTTTAAATTTTAAAAGCGTTTATATGTTATAACCAATCCGTATCTAAGATAAATGGTAGGTCAACTAATAATATCCCATAAATAACAAATAATTCTTTTTTTCTTTTTTAGAGATCATTAATCGTACGTGTAATATATTAAATTTAAATTATATGTAAAATGTATTTATAGCATGAATTTATTTTTTTAATTTTATTAATGTTTAGTGTACTTATCTATGATTTATTTAGGTTTTTAAATTTATTAACAACCAATATAAAATATAATTTATAATATATAATAGTAGAGTATATAGTTTAATATAATATAATACAGCTTAATATCGGTATGATTAATTTTACAATCTAATATTCAACAATGTGAGTAAATGTAAATATTTTTTTTTTTGTGACAATAGAGAGAACGAAATAACGCAATTTGTACATTTATACCGAACAGACATTGCAGAATATAAGTTACGGATCAGGCCGTTTTCCCCCGGTTTTTCTTTAACGATCCCCAATAATCTAATTAATCCCAATTGCTACCAGAATCTGCTCTGAACGTTGCTAATTTAATGCAAAGGGTAGAAAAAGATAGAAAAAGAGGAGGTTCTGTAATGAAAAAAATGAAAAAWGTTTCAATTAGGGAAATAGACAGAATAATTGAACTTAAAAATAARCTRAAGAAGGATTATAAAAATGCGGCTTTAAGAAACATATATGCTGAAGAAGAAAAGGAAAAATCTTTTGGACCAGTAACAAATGAATTAAAAAATATTGTAAATGCAGTTAATGAAGTTAAAGAAATAARTATTAAAACTGACGAAGATATGAAAAAARTKATGGTTCCATATAAASGACCAGAAATATTAAGGCTGACAGATGGTTCAAATACTCCAGTTAAACCTCTAGAAATAAGGTCACCAATTTAAAAAAAATATGCCCTCAAAGAATATAATAACTTTAGGTCCAAATACAACCAAATATTTACCTMGAATTAATRATTCAGWTTTTGGATTATATTATAATACTCATAATAAACAATATATGATTGGAAAAGATGTAGTAGWATTTAWTGATGRTAATTTAATTATAAATGGAAAAACATATGAAGGAACAACAGGATTATTTAATTTATTATKTTATTCTGTGTATGCAACCCCCAATTATTATACAGAGACAGATTTTGACAATTATAAAGATATATTAATTCAGACTGATTCAATGTATCAAAATAATGATAAAAAAACTGAGCTTGTTAAATCAAGTAAAGGAGAAAAATATTTGAAAATGATTAAACCTATTTGGCATAGTTTACCTGAAAATGTAGCCAAAAAGAAAAAAAAAAGAGATTACCAAAAGAAGATGAAGAAAAAGAAGGAGATGGTTTAAAAAAGGATTCAGAAGATCGTATTGAGTATAAATATATACATAATTTAAATGAATTATTAAAGAGATTATATTTTATTGYTAGTGAAGAAAAAGCAGGCCATAATAATTTTCATAATGAAAAAATTAGTATTGTGCATTKTTTTACTTCTGAATTAGAAAGAATAGTTAATACCCCACAAGGAATTGAGTATTTAATATCTTATGTAACAAGTTTGCCTGAAAAAATTGTAGAAGGATCAGGTCTTATGAATAATCTTTTAAACAGTAAATTT